GGGTTAGTGTCAGATTCAGGGGACCCTGAAGTGCTGGGCTGAGGATTTTTTTGAGGGGTGGCTGAACGCTTTGCTTCCTGCCAATGCTCCCTGCCTGATACCCATGAGTGTTTTAGTTGCTGAGTGCTAAGTGAAATCTGGTATCAAAGTGAAATGAGAACTATAGTGAAATAGTGCTAAGCAAAACAGCATTAAGCCGGGGTTGCCTGTAAAGCCTTTTTGTTTTTATCAATCATGTTGTCATGTCAATCCTGAAGTGTACTAGCTAAGATCTCATTCTTTTGGTGACACCAATCACTTTCTCATCCACTCGGTTATGTCATTCAAACTGTAAATGACGGCTGCAGCAGAAGCAATCCCAACGGAAGGTCACGTTAAAGGACTCAAGGACCCAATCAAGTGAGACTTTTTCCATAACTGCCTCAACAAAAAACTGGTGAATCCAATCAACAACAATGGGAGAATGTCAGCAGTGCTTGGGGTGCCCTCAAGTCCACTGTTATCAGTGCCTGCACTTTGATTCACTACCAGGTAACGTCAAAACTGGTTTGATGAGAATGACCAGGAGATCCAAGAACTGATTGGCTGTAAGCAAAGGCCTTTTGTGTTCGGCAAGATGGCATCAGCTCCGAGCAAAAGAAGTTGAGCCACCAATAAGCCAAGGCAGAGGTTCAAAAGAGGACCCATGTTATGAAGAACTGATGGTTGGAAGACAAGGCAAAGGAGATTCAACATCTTACTGACACCCACAATATGTGTGGTTTCTTCAGTGCCACCAAAGCCGTCTTTGGTCCAAGCACTCAGGGACGAACCCCCCTTGAGACCGAAGGGTGGAGGAGACCTGATCAAGGAAAGGGGAGCCATTAATGCTCACTAGAAGGAGCACTTTGAAGACCTTCTCAATCAAGACTGTTGTTGACAAGAGTGTTCTCAATTTCATCCTTCAACACCCAGTCACAGAGGATCTCAGAGTCTCTCCAACCCATGATAAGGTGAGGAAAGCCATTAAGCAGATGAAGAATGACAAGGCATCTGAAGCAATGGAATCCATGCTGAAATCTTCAAGTAGGGGGAGAAGAGCTCACATCACTGCTCCATGTCCTCATCTTAAGGATCTGGAATGATGAGGAAATCCCTGATGACTTCCAGGATGCCATGATCATGACACTCTTCAAGAAACGAGAGGTCTGATCATGAAAATTAAAGAGGGATCGCCTTGCTGTCCACCACAGGAAAGATCATTGTGAGAACCCTCCTGAAGCATCTCCTTCCACTTGCTGAAAAGCTCCTCCTGGAATATCAGTGTGAGTTTAGGGCATCAAGAGGCACAACTGACATAATCTTCACTGCTTGCCAGCTGTAGGAAAAATGCTTAGAACAACACAAACTCCTCTAAATGGCCTTCTTTGACTTCACAAAAGCCTTCATCTCCATCAAACAAGAAGCACTGAGGAGTATCCTCCTGAGGTATGGATGGCCACTGAAATTCATCACCATTCTTTGCCTGCTCCATGATGGTATATGAGTGGTTATTCTCAGTAATGGATCTATCACCAATCCCTTTGAGGTTAAGGCAGCAGTTAAGTAAGGCTGCATCATTGCTCTAACATTTTTCTTGATATTCCTTCCTGCAGTGCTACACCAGACAACCAACAACCTTCTAGTCAGAGTGGAGCTAAATTACCAAATGGATGGTAAACTGCTTAATCTCAGCCATCTGCAAACCACAACCACCCCGACCTCAATCACTGAGCTCCAGTACACTGATGATGCTGTAGCATGTGCTCGCTCAGAAGCAGACCTTTGGGTAATCCTCAACACCTTTTTCAAAGCATACAAGAAAATGGGACTCACACTTAACATGCAAAAGACTAAGGTCCTCCATCAACATGCTCTTAATGAGCAGTCCCCAGCTCTGTTAATCCTGATATACAGTGAGACTCTGGAGAATGTTGTGTATTTCCCATACCTCGAAAGCCGTCTCTTACAGAAGCTGACATCAGTGAAGAAATCCAACATCACCTCCAGTGTGCAAATGCAGCCTTTGAATGCCTGAGGAAATGGTTGTTCAAAGATAGGTGACATCAGATCCAAAACCAAGCTTATGGTTTATCAAATGGTCTTGATCCCCACGTTCCTGTATGGAGCTGAGATGTGGACAATGTACAGGAGACACCTCAAAGTCTCTGGAGAAATATGATCAACACTGCCTACAAAAGACCCTTTTAATCTAGTGGGAGGACAAACACATGAACATCAGCATCCTCTCACAAGCAAACACCACGAGGTGATGATCATCCAACATCCACTTTGTTGAGGTGCCCACACCATCCAGGTGTCTGACTCCAGACTTCTGAAGCAAGTTTTATTCTCCCAGCTCAGTCAAGGTGTATGCTCAAGAGGAGGGCAAAGAAAGTGCTTCAAGGACACCCTTAAGGCCAACTTGAAGAAATGCAACATTGACATCGACTTGTAGGAGGCTATTGCCCAGGACCACCCCAAACGGAGGAAGAGTTTGCTTCAAGGATCTCAGTACTTTGAAACCTCACAACAGCAGGAGATGGAAAAGCAGAGAGGCCTAAACAGTTTTGCGGGACTGAATCAGGAATCCAGAGCCATCCACGCCACACCGAAACAGGTGCCCAAGTTGCAAAAGAACCTGTTGATGCCGCGATGGCCTTTGTCAGTCATCTTCGGACTCACAGATAAGTCTGTCATGGAAGACAATCCTCCTCCACTGGGCATTTAACATTATAGTTAAAAGTATGTCTCTGATTCAGATTAATAAAACGAGCATGCTTGGTGCCTTGACAATGCCTCCAATACTTTCCTTAGTCCTTCCTACACCTGCATTAGGGTTTATAGCGAGAGCTGGAGACAGTCTGCAGGGCTGTGAAATAGAAGAGAGGCATTTCCAGGAACTGGCAGAAGAAAGGATCCTGTGACTAGTGAAGCACGAGGGTCGCTAGGGAGCAGAGAGGATGGTGGACGCCTGCGGAGCGGGGAGAGGGCGGCCCGAGTGGAGCTGCTCCTGCCCCTCCGGGATGCTGGTGTGCAAGTCTGGGCAGAAGGCAGGGTAGAGCGGGGACCGCTGCCCCCTGGATCTGCTCCTGCGAGCCCCTCAGCCAGCTGCGTCCCCCCCGCCCTGTGTTTCCAAGAGTAGTGGAAAGTCCCAAGTTCGCAGCTCAACTTTCGCTTTCGCCTCCTCTCGTGTCGCAGCGCGATCGGCCCCTGC